TGGCCTCGAACTCACAGAGATCCGCCTGGCTCTGCCTCCCGAGTGCTGGGATTAAAGGCGTGCGCCACCACCGCCCGGCCCCAGCCTGCTTTCTTATACAATTCAGAACCACCTTCCCAGAGGTAGCACCACTCAAAGTGAGTTGGACGCTCCCACATCACTCATTAAGAAAATGCACTACAGGCTTGCCTACAGGCCAATCCTTTGGCAGCAGTTTTCTCCATTAAGGTCCCTTCTTTCCAGATGACCCTAGCTTGTATCAAGTTGTCATTAAAAAATAGCCAGTGCAATCTCCTAAACCCATAATCCTTTGATTTTCTTTCTATAAAATCTCAAGGCCCAGGAGCAAAGGAGATGAGTCACTGAGTAAAGTGTTTGCTGTGAAAGGATGAATACATGAATCACTTCCCCCAGCACCTATGTAAAAAGAGACAGGAGAATCCCTGGGCTTGCTGTTTAGCCAGTATAGGCAATGGGTAAGAGACCCTGCCTCAAAGACTAAAGTGGAGAGCCATAGCGGAAGACACCTGGTGTTGACCTGTAACCTACATGCATTCACAAAGGTGAGGGCACCCACACACACATGTGGACAACATATTCATATGATCTCAAAGCTACTGTTAACAAACTTGTCAATGAACCCCTTTGTCTGTTTTCTCACCATAGCTTCCTTGATCAAACCTCCCCTCTTTTTCCTTTGCCTCTAATCATCTCTTTAATTATTACATACAGATGGTTGATTCAGCCTATGCTGTTGGGATTCTCAGAGCCCAGACTTTTGCACTAATGCTGGTATCAGATCAATAGCAAGATTGTATTTATTTCTAAGTCTAATACTTTCTTTGCTGTTATCTACAATTGAACTTTTACTCTTTAGGGACACAGAAAAGGGTAAGTACATCAATATTAAGTCTATGTGTTTCAAACACCTGTGTGACTAATTTTACTTAAGTGTGATATAAATATCACCTTGTCTCAGACTGAAACCAGAATAGCTTCCGGCTGTAACTCACCTCTGTCCTCTGTCTGGCTGTGAGTCATCTATGTACTCTAAGTATTTATAGAAAGTTGTTAAGACATGCAGTAAATGATTCAATAAATGTGTGTGAGGATGATAGTGCTGAGACTTTCAGCATGTATTTCCAGCACATAATGTCTGCCTTTACCTCTACAGCTAGTCACTGTACACATCTCTTCATATTTAAAGCTATCATTAGAAAATAGAAGACAGTTCAGAAAAACTATGCCTCCCTTTATGGTCCTTTGAAGGCTAAGACTTTGCACTGGATTGTCCATAGTGCTGGCTGGGTTTTATTCTCAAGAAATGACTAGGCTATCCTACCCAGTTAAACTATAACCAATAAGTGGGTAGGACAGACAAAGGTCATATTGCCCCTATTGCAAGATCCTTTTAAGCAAATTAAGTTTTCAGAATAAACTGTGTTAGTCCCAAAAAAGTTTTATGTTTTATGTGTATGTTTGTATGTCTACTGTGTGTGTGTGTGTGTGTGTGTGTGTGTGTGTGTGTGTGTGTGTGTGTGTGTGTGTCTTACTCAATCATGCTCCACCTCACTTTTTGAGACAGGACCTCTCACTGAATCTGGAGCCTGATGATTTGGCTATACTGACTAGCCAGAGAGTCCCAGGGATCCTCCTGTCTCTGCCTTCCCACCACTGGTCTTACATGTGTGACTTTCTGGTCTAGATTCTGGGAGTTCCAACTCAGGTCCTCATAGCCATGTGAGTAAGACTTCTCCCTTGCCCTGATTTTATACTCTAAATGTATAAAGGGTATTTGAATTTGGGCAAGCTCATTAAGCCATCAACAGTTAGAGCACAGTAATCTCTCCTTGTTTTCATGTACTTTGTGTACTTTGGTTGGGATTTCCACACAACAGTGGCATTATTTGACTCCTGATTTGTCCCTGATGAGATAAGACCAAGTATCAGTTCTAGAAGTCACAATGTAGGATGCTCTGGGGGAGGAATCACCGACAAAAATCTGACTCTCAACCAAATTTTCTGTTGCAGTCTTGAATCTCACTGCTTCCTACATTGACCTTAGTGAGGGAATGTGATATTCTGACTGTTAGTCTACCACAGCAATTCTAATTTTTAAAATATATATTTTATTTATACTTTGAGTCAATATATGTGGATAATGGAAATGTGGTACATGTGTACAATGGAATACTATTCAGCTATAAAGAAAAAGGAAATTTGCAAGTAAAAGGGTAGAACTAGAAAATGCTAGGTTGAGTGAGATAACCTAGACCCAGAAAAACAAAGTGTATATATGCTCACTCACCTGCAATTCATAGAAACATACCCATGCAGGCTACACTAAAGGGATTCATTGACTGCAGTTATATGTTGATTCATTCACATGTATATGTATTTGTAGCAACAATGACTAAAGAAGATGAGGCCTTGAATTTGGAAGAAGCGAAAGAAGAAAAATTATGTAGTTGTGTTTTAGTTTATAGATAGATAGATAGATAGATAGATAGATAGATAGATAGATAGATAGATAGATGAGAGAGAGAGAGATGAAAAAGATAAAATAACAATAATAAACCCACCTTAAAATTCGATCTGGAAGAGTCCTTCCTCACCAATCTCATCAAACAGAACTGTACTACTTTATCCCCTAAACAACTTTCATTATGTCCAGTGCAAAATTCTGTTTTTCTCTCTACATCCAAAAAGCATTATCAATTTTCATGCTTTCAAGGAGCATTATAGATTTTCATGAGTGTTTGCATGGTGAGATCATAAGCTTGGATATTATTCTCAGCTATGTCGATGTTTCCCAGTAGAGTACTTTGAATGAATTGGGGGTCTGAAACTCCGGTTGAAGTTGGTCATCTGCTTGTCCTTTTCCTGTGAACTTTTGGTGACCACTTCATGACCCTAAGTTATTAACAAAAGGAGAAGGTTTAACCAGACCTCAATCACCTTATCAACACATTCAGGCTGATCTGTATGGAGCTGATGACTACACCAACCAGTATCCATTTATGTTCCTTCTGATGCATCCTATGAGAGAGTCCAAGTGAAGAAAAAGTTATCCATATTATTTATTGAAAAAAAGGGTAGGGGTGTGTGTGTGTGTGTGTGTGTGTGTGTGTGTGTGTAGTATATGTGTATGTGCACTCACAAGTGTGGGTATATATTATGTGTACATATATATGTTTAGGCCAGAGGCAGATTTCCAATGTTTTTCTCAATTAGTTTCCATCTTATGTATTGAGGAAGGGTCTCTCACTTGTGCCTGGAACTAACCAACCCTGGCACTTGAACTAGCCAGCTTGCTCTGGGGTTCCTTTCTCTCCATCTCCCATGCACAGGAATTCAAGCAGGCTACCCTATCTGCCTTGTATGTGTGCAGTAGATCTGAGTGGCAGCTCTTATCTTGCTCTGCAAGCAT